TAGCAATTTCCTTATCCCCAACTTCAAAACCTCTTACTATAATTTATCATTCTAGCGACTATGATATATAAAAAAATTGATTATATTTATGTTTATACTACATTACTTGACACTAGTTCAAAAGCCAAGGCCTTAGCAAACCTATAGTTTTTAAATATCTGCATTCAGGTAAAGAATGCTAATATGGCTTCAACGTGGTAAGGCCAGACATAGAGCAAAAATGGCCTTACTTTTCTGAAGATACAATAAAAATTGGCCCAAAATATGATATTTTCTGGAAGAATCTGCACTGAATTAAAGTAAGAAAAAGACAGTCAACAGCCTGTCCCTGAACAGATTTCCCTCAATTACCAAAAAAACTATCTCATTCATTTCCTTTGTTTATCCAGGACAGAAAAAAAAAAAAAACCCATGATACCGAGGGTGGCAAGGTCAGAAAAAATAAGAGAAACTCAAGATCAGCTTCTCAGAATAGCAAGTTCTGCAGCTGGTCATAGAATATCGTGCCCTAAGGACACAAGGACATGCACTCTTAGGGCCTCTGAGCTGCTGTCCTACACTAGAAAGTCAACGTGCCACACAAAAGTCTCCACAGGAACGCCCAGGGCGCCACGCACTTCTTTCCCACAAAGACATGCTGCTGTTCCAGGAGAGTGCCCCCGCTCCCACGGCCAGCTAATTCCCCTATTCTGTAAGCCTTTATTAAGCACCTACCGACCATGAGCCCCGTACAAAGCACTCTGTATACATGTTATACTCATGGATTCAAAATTCTCGTAACCTAGCAGAGTAATGGAAGAAAGCCTACAGATATGAAATAGCAACGCAAAGTAGTTTTGAATAGTGCTACATAAATGATACAAACCAGGATTAAGTGCTATAAGAGTTCAGGAAGGTGGAAAGAAGTAATCAGGAAGAAAAAACGCGGTAATCTTCCCTCACTAGCAAATCCCACCACATTGACTTTTAATGGAGGTGGCTGGAGAGAACAAGGGAGCCAAGCGAAGGAGCTCAGGGCAATATGCAATTATTGAAACTGGAAATGGGCCTGGACCCTGGCAAAAACATGTCGTGAGAGCGCTGGCAATCACGCTGTGGTCAGGGCCTCAATTTCAAACCTCTCCCAAGAGACATCATTTTCTGAAACACAGGTATACCTCCCTACATAGCAAAGTAAGTCCGCTTGACTTAGTGGAGAAGTGTCATCTGCTCATCTCTGACATTCCATCACAAGGGCTCAGCTTAAAACAATCCCCACCCACTGGCAAATATGTTTCTGTTACCACTTACCTTTTTCCCAATAAGCTTCTTTCGAAGAAATTCCCGTGCTTCAAACATGTAGGGAATGTCATACAGGGGACGTAGTTTCTTGTTCTTATCCTAAAAGCAAAATAAAATGGCACATCAGAAATGGGGGAAAACAAAATGAAAACTACACATTAACACGACCAATAGCACGAGATAATAGAATGCATTGAAATATGCTCCCCTACCTCCTAGTATCACAAATATTACATAAGTGCTAGATACATTGTAAATGATTAATAAATATTTGGTTAAAATGCTTTACGGCAGCAGTCCTCAACCCCTGGTCCATGGCCCACGGCCTGTTAGGGACCGGGTCGCACGGCTGGAGGTGAGCAGCAGAAGAGCAAGCGAAGCTTCCTCTATATCTGCAGCCGCTCCCCAGCGCTAGCATCACCGCCTCAGCTCCGCCTCAGATCATCAGGCATTAGATTCTCACAGGAGCACCGGTCTCTAGTGCCAAAAAGGCTGGGGACCACTGCTTTATAGGGAATAAGACTACCTTTTTCTTGAGACAGGCTCAAAAATAAGCAATGGAATGTAATTACCCAAACTGGAAACAACCTAAATGTTCATCAACAGGGAAATACCTACCTGCACTATGATACAGAAGAAATTCAGTAAGTATTAGGGTGCTTCAAATATTTATAGATATACTTCTACTATTTTGTAAGCCTTTATTAAGCACCTACTAACTATTAGCCCCATACAAAGCACTCTGTAAATATGTTATAATCACGAATTCGAAATTCTTGTAATCTAAGAGTAATAGAAGAAAGCCTACAGATGTGAAATAGCAACACAAAGCAGTTTGAATAGTGCTAAATTATGTCATATAAACTAGGGACTAAGTGCTAAAGAGTTCAGGAAAGTGGAAAGAAGAAATCAGGAAAGGTATCATTGAAAAGACACGACTTAATGCGAGTTTGCAGAATAGGAAAAAACTAGGAAGAAAATTAGAGTGAAAAAAAAAAACGGAACAAAAAGGAGAGAGGCAGAAATAAATAGTATTTCGACATACACACACAAATATAAACAGACAAAATTCCTTCATTATCTCAAGGGCCCAAGGCTTCTCCAAAAATAAGTTACTGCTCTAAGTAACTTTGAGAATATGAAAGAGGCTCTAGATAAGGTGATAGAACCTGAAAGGATAGGAACTTAAGAGATAGGAGCACCATTTTTAAGAAATGAATTAACAGAAACTGACTCTGAAATGGATAGAGGGGAAAAAAGAGGAATCTAATATTCTAAGTCATGATGACAGGCATACAAAGTCTAGAGAAGTTTGCCTTTAAATGAGTGTGGAGGATTAGAGCATGTGTACAAGATATAGGGAGATGCTGGGTAGATCAGTAGGTATGATTACTGTGCTGTCTCTCTCCCACTAGTTCCTAAGTTCCATGAGGACAGAGATTGTATCCATTTCTGAATTCTCTGTGACCCCAGAGCCAAGTACAGTACCTCCCTCATAGGCATACTCGATAAATAGTTGGATGAACTAACTACAATAGAAATATGCAGAATGATACACAAAGATACATAAAGTATGCTAGAAGAATAGGACTACAGGTACAGATTTGGGAACCTCCAGGACCCAGGTAATATTTGAAAAAAAATTCACAAAGAACAAAAATCAAGGACTAATACCTAACTTAGATGCACACGGTGGCTCCCCCAGTGCTGTGAAGTTAGTCCACCTAGCCTTGCCTTTGCCATCTGTTACACATCTGACAGAACAATGCATCTCTATATAATCATTCTATATTCACAGAAGTATTTAAGTTATTTGTTTTCTTAAATTGCTAACTACTCCCAAATAAGAACCTTTCTCAGTATTAATACCCCATATTTAATACTAACGAAAATATTGAGGTCAATGGAATCGAAATAAATGTTTTCTCCTGGACCCTCACTAAGCCTCTGTGTCCCCAGCATATCATTGAAACTCTTCAATTCATTGATAACACCAAGAAAATGTCTTATCAGAATGTAGATAATTCTTTGAGTTTGAGCTTTACATTCATCACCCAACTGTCTTCTACTTCTTCTGGTTTAAAAAAAAAAAAAAGACAGCGGCATCATTCCACTGCCCTTCTAGGAAGTGAGGTGCCTTCAGAAATGAAGGTGAGTCGCTCTATTCCTTTTCCCAGATGATGTGTGGGAACACACATACTTTGAACAGGGACAAAGGGGAAGGCCAAGCTCTGATCAAGGTCTTCGAGTGTCATGATCACTTAGTCTAATAAGTAAAGTATGACCCTAAACATAAAAATCTTTAACACTAAGGTTTTCTTATAGGAAATAACAAGGACAATGGGACAGATTAGCGTTGCCTGGCTAGAGGGAGTGCTGGGTAACACAGGGGCAGATGGTATGGGATTATGGGCATTTTATAAACTTCTAGGCAGCCAAATGAAAATAGCGGGTAACTATTAAGGAGCCAAGTATAATACATAAGCCGTAAAACAGAATTTATGATGACATTCAATGATAAAGTAAGAATACTTGCTAGACAGAAGATGTTAGGTTCCAGTAATGAACAGGACTGTTAATAAACACAAATCAATGATCAGACTCAGCCCTTGGTAATAAAGAAGTGCCAATGTATTCATAGTCACCAAGCAATAGAGAACAATCTATTTAGAGAGTAGCTGTGTGATTACACAAGCCTAAGTGGACAATATTTTTAAAAATGAATTGAATAAAATATCAGCTTTTATCTTTCATAGCATTATGATTTGCCATAGAATCTGAATATCGGAACTTTACCCTACTTATTCTGAAACACCAACAGTACAAGGGACTGTCGCTTGACTGAAATTCTAAAACAATAAATGAAAGGTAAGAAATGCAGTTCCAACATTTAAATGCAGATCATGGAATGAGGTACAACTAACTAAAAATGTGTAAAATTGGCTGTCTGAACAAGGATCCTTTCCTTAAGACACCTGACAGGACTGGGCCAAGCCAAAATACCCCCAAAAGAATGAAAGAAAATAAATAGTATACCAACAAACATCCGAATAAAAAGTACTGCAACATCAGAGTCCGATTATATGTCTCTCGTGAAGCTAGGAAAGAACGAACAGCACAAGCAGAAAATAAGATATCACAAGTGAAAACAGAATGATCTCGTTACTCTAACCCATCAGAGCTAGCAGCTATTGACATCTGCAAACATCTTACGAGAGATATTAGAAGTCCCTAAGAAACTACAAAATAAAAGCAATTCCTTCAAATTACCAGGTACATAAAAGCCTTTGAAATCTCTAAGAGGCAATTGAAGTATGGAATGTAGTCTGAGAGAACAGGACTTAGCTAAATCTTAGCCTGTTAAAAAGGACTGTCTAGTTTAGATTCTAATTTACATGAAAATATTTTTTAAAAATAAAAATAGGAGAGAATGTTTGCTTTATCTGGTGGGCAAACAATACACACACCAATATGTGCTGTAATCGCTGTATATCCTGAGAAATGACATTGTATGTAAGGCCTGCAAAGACTCACATCGACATAACTTCAGTCACTGGTAGTTCTCAGAGGTTTGGGGGTTGGGCAACACCCACATCTCAGCAACTAAAAACAAGCTTGGCATTTTTATAGAAAGATATTTTTGGCTGGGTGCCGAAACGAGGTCCTGGTCAATGCTCATTTGGAAAGAACAGAAGGGACCTCCAATAGAGGCCTTATTGTCAACTCTTGTTCAGGCCTAATTTTATCTAGCCCATGCTGTAGCCAAAAACTGTATCCAAATGATTTAATGACCTTGGATACTGCAAGGTTCCTTAAGCAAGGCTGAATAAACACAAACTATAAAAAAAAGAGATTGATAAATGTGGCTCCACTAAAATTTTAAAAGTTTCTTTGTTGAAAAGACATCATGAACAAAGTGGCAAGACAAAGCACAGACTCTTAGCTGATAAGTGAAATGGATAAAGAAGTGGCAGAGCAGAATGACAGGTAACAGGGGTACAGGGCCACACTTGTAATAGTCTCAGTGCAGCCTATTACGTTTTAGCAGACTCAAAGGAAGTATGAGATGTAATCATCTGGAGATAGGCTGAGAGAACAGCCAATGCGAAGGCCTTGAGTTAGGAACATGCGTGGTTAGTTCAAAGAACAGCAAGGACACCATTGGCTACAGCGGTGTGTACAGGAGGACGGCAGTAGAACACAAAGACACAGATTTGACTTTAACATTAGAAAGAATTACTTGGGCTACCATGTTGAGAACTGACACTACAGCAACAAAAGAGTAGAACAAAGGGAGACCAATTATGAGATTATGATAAGAATCTGAGGAGGAAATGATGGTAGATCACAGCAAAGGGGTAGCAGTGAGGGAAATAAGATGTCAGAATCTGGATACATTTTGAAAGAGGAATGTGAGGTATAAAGGAAAGGGAGGACTCGAGGATGACTCTAAGGTTTATTTTCTGAGCAAATGGAAATATGGGTGGGGTTATCAAATGAGAGATGGGAAGACCACAGATAGACTACAGAAAGTGGCGTAAGATTAGGAGTGCAGTTACAGACGTGCTAAATTTCCAAGTGGGGATGCTGAGCAGGCAGGTGTATATACAAGTGTGGTATTTGGAAGAAAGGTCTGAACCGGTCGGTGATACACATTTGGAAGTTGTTGGCATATAGGAGGTATGTAAAGAGACTGAAAAGGACTGAAGACTGAGTCTTGAGGCATAATAACATGAGGAGATAAAGAATAAGAAATCTGCAAAAGCAGACTGAGAAGGAGCAATCAGTGAGCTGAACAGGAGGAAACTATCAGAGTGTCATGTCCTAGAAGCCAAGGAAAGAAAGTGAATTGAGAAGGGGGCATGACCAACGTCAAGTGAGGCAAGGCAAGTGAGATGAGGACTAAGATTTGCATGTTGGATTAAGCTAAATGTGAGTCATCAGTAACTTGATGAGAATAATTTTGGTGAGCAGTAGGAGCAAAAGCCTGACTGAAACCAGAAATTGCAACGGGAAGAGAAGAAATGGAGAAAGCAAGGACAAACTATGCTTTTGAAGATGGTGCCATGAAGGAGTACAAAGACATTGTGTGGCAGCTG